ATGGTTAGGAATACATTTGTCCAAGTTGGAAGACGACGACTTACGAAACCCTCGGGGGTGGTGTCAGTGCCAGCAAGACCACCAGCCTTGTCAGAGGAATCGACAATCAGCCATGAAGGGCCGTTCTGTTAACATCGTCAGCCTGTATTTCTCGGCCTCAAGGTGAAGGTGGAGGTGGCGGTGAGCGCATACAATGTGGTTGAGACGCTTGGCAGCACCGAGACCAGTAGGTCCCATGCCAATAACGAGGACATCAACGTTACTGCAAAGATGGTAAATGTCAGCAAGACGTCTTTTTGCATGAACAAACAGTGCTTTCTAGTATACAGAGACGTCAAGCAATAGCAAACGGGCGCAAAAGCAACTCACACGTCGGCCATGGTGGGGGTATTAGAGGGAGCTGAAGAAGATGGATAGAAGACCGCAAAAGGCACAGAAATAAGCAGACGCGGACAACAATGGAGCGACGAAGGGGAGAAGAAGTTGTACAGAACAACAAAAAGACAGCGAGAAGATCAAAGTCTCGTGGTTGTTGTAGATATTGACCGCGATTGCAGGAAGTGAGGTGGCTTCAGGAGTCTGGCAGAAAAGGAGACGGTAACGGATCGATGGCGGGGCTAAAATTATTCTGGGTCGGGTCCCCTCGACCCTCCTAGTCTCCCTTAGTTGGGTCTCCACCCGCGGGCCCCTGATACTGTAGATGGTGGGTGGGCGTGGGTGGCCTGGTTCTAACATCGGATTGGATGATCTATGTGATATATTCTCTGGTTGTTGGTAGCACAATGAGGGTCAGAGTCATGATAAAGACGGGGACTCTCAGGAAAGGAGATTATTTTCGGTCCAGCTTGGGTCATGGATGTGTTGATACCAGATCTGCATAAAAATGTAATCCTTTGTGGTGTGACTACCTCAGTGGATTAGAGATTATCTGTTGTGAAAGGCAATCTCACTGCCAGGCATTGACAGATCAACCTTGTCGCCCCAAGCGAGGGACTGAAAGATAGCCTCCACTGTCTATAAGGGTCTTTCGACGACCAGCCTGCCCTGGATAGGTAGTTTCTAATCGCCTTCGACAGCAGAATACGAATATGACAACCAGCTACGTAGTACAGTAGTCTCAATATTCATATTGCATGAAATCTTAATCGACACGCTATTCGGCCTATGCCTAACGGACACTGTGCCATGAATTGGACAATTAGCCTCTTTTCTTAGTAGCTGTCGGGGTGGCTCCCGTCGTCTCGACTCCGCCAAGATTCCGTCAACTCCAGTATTAGAGCAGCGTTCCGAGTACCATGAGGCTGATCTTGCATTAATCCGATACCTAGGTTTGATATATTTGAAACCCGCGTTCCCAAAATAATCAACGCGTTGCCAACTTTTATTGCTGCGGTTTGTTAGAATTTCGGACAATGATGGCCAACGCCATACTTGCTGATCAAAGATCCCACGCGATGGATTCGATAGTCTGTTGGTACTGCAAAGGAGGTCCACAGAGTCTTTTGCTGTAATCTCCTAAGATGAGGTGTAATTCAACGCTCCATGACAGATAAGATAATTACTTTCAAAAGCGTCTTTGACTGGACGATTGAATACACTCCCAGTCACTTTATGCCGCTGGCCAATCCAAAGCACGCCCAAGACCAGATCTCAATTTCTCTTCTGACCATCGCCAAATTAAAACGAAGCCACAACTTGATGCTTATATCCGGGTTGGATCAATTGTATGCATGAGAATATTTCTTATCTGCTCGGCTGAAGCTTGTTAGACTTTACAAACAAGCTCGTATTCCAGAATACCCGTATTTTGTGCAACCTGAGTTCTTCGCAACTTCTTGCAAACAACTGTCAAGAAAATATCACTGACTTTTGCTGACGGTCAGCCTGAGAAGCACACATGAAAATACCTACCCATGTAATGTCCAGGGGTGGCTTGCTTGACGGGTGAGTGGGGGGGTTCTAATAAAGTAGCGATGTACCTGTACAGTGTAGCGAATTCAGCTTTATCATGATAAGATACGGGATGTCCAATGATTGTCCAAGCAATTTCTACGTTCGAATCTCTTTAGATGGAGTCTGTAGCAAAAGAATGTTGCTAGCACGAAGCGGTCAACCGTTCAAGTACGGAGTAGAATTATGCCTGTAGTTGGTTCACGCTAGTTGTTACATGCATGTAACAAGCTTTCGCCTCTCCCTTCTTTCTTTGGCCCATACCTCCGTTGGTCGAGCGATGATCGCGCCTATGGTTTCCATAATATCGGCTCATGTAAACCGACCTTGAAACCATCATGGCCAACATGCTGGAGCAACGAGATGAAGGGCTGGAAGGCCACGCAGAAGGCTTCGTAACCTTTGGTGAAGAAACGTCACTGGACCCAGATATAGCAAAGGATCAACTGGCGGTTTGTGAAGTGTCTCCACCAGGCACCTCTGTTCGATAATCTCTGACAGCATTGTATGGACTCTGAAACAGGAAGCAGATCAACCAGCCATCAGGATCGTTTTGGCGCTACTACATGTTGTTTTATTAAGAGCCAACCGTGCGTGGCTTGCAACGCAAGGCTCGCCTCGCGGGTGAGCTCCCGCCCTCTTCAGCCTGGTCTTGGCTCGTTGTGGCATGGATGTTACTCACAACGGTAACATATCTCTCCTCTCCGCACGACGTACGGGATTTGTTACCAGGGGACACTGAGTAAAATACCTCATTGCCATTGTCTGCTTTCTTGAGGATGAACGTAATGTTCTTAGTAGATGAGCTCTAGAGTTGGTATCCACCATGAGCCAGCTCGACATGGTTACAGGGACCCCTTATGGGTTTCCAAGGATTGGTATATTTCCTCGGCTCGGTTTGATATCTCACTGTGTCTGTCTCCGTATATTCTCTACATAATACATACCATGGCTTTCCGGCACGATCAAAATGGATCCTTGACCCCCCTAAGAATGCTTAACTAAAAGCCAAGTTTAGCAAACTGGGCCGTTTCTTCAGCCAGGGTGATAGACCTCTGGGCCGTCTCGGCTGGATCTGCAGATGTGTGTTGAGATTCTGGTTACGTTTACTTGCCAAGCTGGATCTCTCGATTAACTTGTTGGAGACATGACACAGCAACATTTAATGGTTACTTCAGGCGGCATGCTTTCCTAGGTGAGGATTAAGCTTTTAACGCGTCTCACAGTCTGCTGAACCAGCAACTGAAGTTCTAAAGGAAGAAAAGGGAGCAAAGCGAGGACAATAATTCGAGGTGGGTTGCCGAAGCTGTCTGGCTGTATGCAGTTACGTACGGAGTATAACCTACCGACTCTGTATGGTAGTGGAGGTTATAAGGTCAACCATTCCGTGCCGCAGAAGGAAGAAAGAATGCTGTGTGTTGAATACCTGCCGCTCATGGCCAAGGTGCAAACCGAGACGAGATTAGAGTGACGTATGTTTCTGGTCGAGTAGTATTATACGAATATAGACCGCGTAAGTGAGGGCCAGACCGTCAATGTTATGGGAATGCAAGAATGAAGCCTCGCAGTCTGAGGAATCGATAGACTGTATTAATTGCCTCAAGAGAATAGCTTGTGAACTTTAAGGAACCCATATATTATGTGAACCACACTTTACTTATTTCTGGGTTTGTTTCCTTTCCTAGACAGGATCTAGATCTTCCCCGATAGTATTTAGACGAAAACGTCCAAATTCGAGATGGTTCCGGCAGTTGGAGGTTCGCTCAACCGGGGCGGGGTGTGAAGTCTCCATCATTGACAGTTGACAGTTGGAGACTGTGAGGGTAGATGCTGAGCCGACAGTAGTCTCGAAGACAGATATTCTCTTCTAGAAACTGACGGCTATTAAAGGAAGAGTGCTGATGGAACGGCAGAACTACTCAATCTAGCATGCGTTTGTTCTTTTTGTCTCTGGTTTAGGCCTACGACTCTACACACAATAGGTAGTTAGTATGTAGAATTGAGCCATTCAGCCACAAACATTCCTCCCTTGAACTTTCACCACCATCGCAAAGTCCAGATTCGCATCGAAATGTAGTAAGCGCACAGTGCGAAAAGACCCCTCAGCTTATCTGGCAACGACAATTGGAGCAACGTGGGCGGGATGATTCGCCAGGCTTGGCTCGACCGTAACTAGCGGATGCCCCTGAATAGAACAACATCAGCCAGTTCCTGTTGCAGCAACCGTGCCTGTACATAGTACCTTGCATCCCTCCAGCTGTTGCCCCTGTACACGCGTCAAATCAGCTTTTGCAGGCTTCGGGTGCCACACGGCTGGGGGTACCAGTACCTGAGCATGAGAATTGTCTCGTTCCCGTCATCCACTTTGTTCGTGTTCAACTGGCTGAGGGCTTATTAGTGCTAGTCAGTCACTGCAGGGTCGGCCACCTGTGCTGAACTTTGTGGCTCCTCCACTAATATGCATCAAAATGCCAATTTCAGAGGGGAAAACCCTTCCATAATATTTTTCTGATTGCGCCTCACCCTGGATTGATTCCTAGCTTGGCTTGCCTCCAACCAAAATAACAATAATAGCCCACACCACACCCCTGGATGAGATTTGAAGATCTAGTCAACATTGCCTATTCCCCCTAAAGTACCCTTCTTCATCCCTCTCGTACCCTTTTTCATTTCCTCCCTCTCTCTTCTTCTCGTACCAGAGACGACTTCTTGTCTTGCTGCCTTGTTTCTTCAGTCTTTCTCTTTGCCTTATCCCTTGCGAAACCAGGCCACCTTGAACCAAAGTCCAAGGAGATCAACCTCTTTTTCGCCTTTTTTCTCTTCTTTGAGACCTTGTCTCTCCTGGGCCCCGCCAAATTGCATATCAAGCACCCCTCGCCTTTTCCGATTCTATTCCATTACAGGACTCGGCTGTCCGTCCGCTCGTTTGCGCGTCCCCCCTAAAATCTGTCTTCAAGGGGTCTCTTATCTACAACCACGACTTTTCTCGCCGACAGCCTCAACCATTTGCAATCGCATCCTTTACATCACCAACAACCAGATTAATCATAATGTCGGCTGACGAAAAGATCCGCGTCTCGGGCGAGACGCCACGTGCGACCACTCCTGTTCTTCCAACAGTTAACCCCGGTCTCGAGAAGTCACAGTCTGCTCGCGCTTCAGTTCATCCTACTTTCTATGTTATGTCAGTAGTTTTCTCGATTATCCCACGAAGTGACTTGACGATGCGCCCGAACCGTTGCTAACCACATTGTGCAGTGCATGGATTGGTTTTTCATCGTCCGTCATCTTGTTCAACAAATGGCTTCTCGATACCCTCAACTTCCGTACGTTTTTAACATTATTGTATATCTGCTCCTTTGCTGACATCTCAACTCCCAGGCTACCCCGTCATTCTAACGACCTACCACTTGACCTTCGCGACAGTCATCACTCAGATTATGGCGCGATGGACTCCTTACCTTGACGGCCGCAAGACCGTCAAGATGACAGCTCGCGTTTACGTCCGTGCCGTTGTTCCCATCGGTATCTTCTTCAGCTTGAGTTTGATCTGCGGAAATTTGACATATCTGTACCTTTCTGTTGCTTTCATCCAGATGCTCAAGGCTACCACACCCGTCGCCGTTCTCATCTCTGGCTGGATTCTTGGTGTTTCTGCTCCCAACCTCAAGCAGTTCCTCAATGTCTCCGCTATTGTTGTCGGTGTCATCATTGCTTCCATGGGCGAGATTCACTTCGTCACTGTTGGTGTGCTCTTCCAGATGGGCGGTATCATTTTTGAGGCTCTGCGACTTACCATGGTCCAGCGCCTGTTGAGCTCCGCTGACTACAAGATGGACCCTCTCGTCTCTCTGTACTATTTTGCTCCCATTTGCGCTGTCATGAACGGTGTGGTTGCTCTTATTTGGGAGATCCCCAGGTGCTCGATGGCCGAAGTTTACCACGTTGGTCTGTTCACCTTCTTCCTTAACGGTCTCTGCGCTTTCTTGCTCAATGTCTCCGTCGTATTCCTGGTATGTTTCCCTTGGAAGTTGCTACGCAGCTTGATACTAACGAGACTATCAGATTGGCAAGACTTCTGCTGTCGTCCTCACACTCTGCGGTGTTCTTAAGGATATTCTCCTGGTCATTGCTTCCATGATGATCTGGGGTACCCAGGTTACTGGTCTCCAATTCTTTGGTTACTCCATTGCTCTTGGTGGCATGGTCTACTACAAGCTCGGCTACGAGCAGATCAAAGGCCACATTGCTGATGCCAACCGACAGTGGGCTGAGTTTGGTGCTCGCAAGCCCATTCTCCGCAAGGTCACCATCATCATTGCTACCGCTTTCCTCATCTTCACCTTCTTCGGTGGTCTTGCTCCCGGTTACTCCTCAGAGGTTGATCCCACCAGACTGGCCAATGAGGTTTCTAACCGTTTCGGCATCAACGATGCTCAGCACGTCTAGAGCTCTGTATTATACGGTCTCAATGTGAAGCAAGACCCGAACGTTTAGTTGACGGGGCGAATGGCGATCTAAGGAACCTCTTTTCTATATCCGTTATTTCCTTATGTATTACGCCCAACCAAGTTATTGAACTTGGTCCGAATGTGTCCACAGTCGGATTGACTTGGCGCGCTTTCTGTGGATTGGAGACTTTTTGATATATTCTGTTTGATTGGGGAAGGGAGGGTCTTATGAAGTGTAAGCCATAGAGCTGGGCGCAGAGCGCGAGGTAGCGGTCCTATGCATGAACCGCATCACGAAAGGTCTAATTGATGTGTAACTCTAGACGGCGTTTGGCCATAGACATGTAGAAACGAAACGGTTAAGAAAAGCCTACCATGACAAAAGTTCATTGATCTATCGTCTCTCCTTCATTTCACCGGGCTCTGCGTTTGACGGTAAATTTTAATTCATGTTATGGATTTCGTAAACCTCGTAGACGTTTAACCGTCAAGAAAAGTCCTCAAGGTCTATTCAACACCCCATTGATGGCATCAATTCATTGAACGCTGCCAGTGGTATCCTTCGGTCGGGACAACACGTCCGTCCGATCCGCGTTGTATATTGACGCTACAATCACGCGGCAAGTAGAGATCTGGTTGTGTTTTAAGAAACTTCATATTGAGCCCATAAAAACCGGCGTTCCTTAGTGCCATCGATGCTCTGTACATCCCGCCAACTCCCTAACCGTGATGGAGAAACGATTCCTTTTTTAAAACTCTGTGGTGGGTGGTTAGCAACGCTCTAATTTACGTAAATCCCAAGAGCAGTCGGCGGGTTTTCATGCAGCTCCGCTCGAGTGGTATAGCGCAGCGATGGGATAACATACTGAGAGGGGTGAAGAACCATCGGTTCTTGCCGCTGGTGTATCGCTCCTCGAGCACCTTCTTCACCGTCTTTTTGGCATCCTCGCGCTGGGAAACCTCCTTAAAGGTGTCGTTGGAGACGGCGCCCTTGAGGCCCTCAAGCTCCAGGGTGTAGCGAGTGGGCATCAAGTGGTTGTAGTTGATGACCTTGATGAAAGGCTTGATCTTGTTTCGCTTCTCCTGGCGGGTCTTGGACATGCGGCGGGTGATCTTGGACGGGTATCGCTCAATGCCGGCAACCAGGGCGTGACCGAAAGGGTGAGGCTTGTTGCCGTTGTCAACGGGCTGGATGATGACAACCTAATTGAAGCAATCGAGTCAGCGAAATGTTTCCTTGAAGAAAACGACAGTCAAGATCGGCTCCCATCATAGTATTCCTGCGAGTTCTGCGCTCCGCGTCTTGTCATATAAAACACCAATGACCTCTTCGTTTCAATCCCTTCCCTCGACCCTATCTTGCTCGGATGCCGCAGAACTCGGGAAATGCCATGGAATAGCAGTATTAAATCTGTCGAGGTCGTACCTTCTTTCCGGCGTATCTGCCGCGGGTGATGATGGCGACTCGGCCGACCTTGAGGAACTTCATCTTGTCCGGCGGTGTGTTGTCTGCTGGTTAGTGAAGTTGCGAGGAGTTGTCAAGACAAGTTCAAATTACGCACCAAAATATTTTGTGTGGGCTGGTGGCAAGCGAGACCCAGCTAGTCACATGACAAGGTCCCTTCCATTTTTCGGAGTCCTGTGTGAGGGGTCCGTGCATGAAGACCTGCCCTGAACTTTTCGAGGCACCCATTCTGTATTACCTAAGCTCCAGTCGTTGGGCGGCTCCAATTGTATGGGTGGGTGGGAGTTAGGCAAAGCTCCTCCATTGAGCCACCTCACCTCCATCATTGTTCATGTACTTGATAAGATAGGTATATCACGATGCCTGCACCAACATATATCATCTCCCGCGCTGCGGATCCAATTTTCGGTGTTTTGATTGGCCTTTCAGCCGCTGCAACCAGAATCAATCGTGAAGAAAAGGACAAAGGTCGAACAACTCAACAGACTCTTGAAGCTGCACGACGGTAATCCCACAAATGATTAGCTGGCAATAGGATAAACACTGATTAACAACATAGACGAGTTGGACCTTCTTCCAAGTCTTCGTAATCATGTCTGGGCTTGCTTTGGCACTCGAGTCACTACTGGTTTTGCGAACTTCCAAGATGATAATGGCATGTCAAGCCTTTTTGGGATATTCTATCTCATTATATACATGCAATTAGTCACCAAAAGATGGACCATATTCCTTCTTCATCGCTTCCCGAACAATTTGTCCGCAGAGTTTGGCCGTTGGGTTGACACTCACGGCCAAACCCTTTGCAATTGGATTTCCATACCTCCCACCAAACGCCAGGTCTCGAGATGCGGCACCCTCAAAGTCGAGCCTTTCCCATTTGGATTCTTCAAGGGTCACATCTATATCCAAAGAACGACTTAGCATTAGTCTGGCTGTTTTCAGATATAATGCAGCTCTTTGGGTGTGAGCCATAGACAAAGTGCGCGCGACCTGAGGAGAAATAGGCATGGTTGGTGATGAAGGGCTTAGGAGTGTGATTGACGTTTCGATGTCGCTCAATGCTGTCACAACAGCTTTTTTCCTTTCCGCCTGGGTGGGTGACTCTATTAAGGGCGCGGAGTTGTCTTTGGTATCGGAGAGCATCATCGCATCTCCGTATAGTCGCCTGAGGATCTGTACACGGTTGTTTCTGGCGCTGGCGTAGTTCGGATACTCAGCGATGATACTCTCAACCGCCGAAAGGCTTTGCTGATAACCCTTGACAGCAGCGTCTTTTACTTCTTCGGACCCAAGACTCTTCAACTGGGTTTCAAGTCTCTGAATGGAACGAATTATGTCTCGCTCCCCCTCGACTACTCGCTCATATATCGTGGCATCTGTAATGTTTGGGTCCCGTGGTAATGAGGAGTCGAGAACGATACCAGCATATGGGTTTGACTCCGGATCCTTGATTTTCTCGAGGATATTGATATCGTGTTTGCTTAAGCATACAGATGCCATTTCGACTGTTGTCGAGCAGTGGCTGGGCAGGTAAAGATGACTCAGTGATTCAGTTTGAGACCTGCGATTCTGCTATTCGGCGAGAACGATAGATTCAGGAAACTACCTCTGGAGGTGTAGATCTTGGAACGTTCGGGATTTGATGCGACGTGTTGAGCGACAGACCTGGCACTGAAAAGGGCTGGCTCAGGGTTCTAAATACCATTCCTGCTATGGGTATGCTGGATAAGCCGACCTGCTTGAGAGGCGTCTCGGCTTTAGCGGGAGATGATCGATACTCAGGCGACTAGTTCCTCCATTGTCGCGCATCTCTCATCCGCAAGGATGTTTCGGCCGGCTTTGCTGCTGACAGTTCCGCAGTCCATCACAGGGCATGTCACCATAGAGTGCTTGTTAAGCCGTGTTGGGACTTCTGGAAGGAGTCGGCCAATGTCGGCTTGGGGCGGCTGGCGCCGCAACGGGACACTCGGCCGGGGAAGTTCCGCAGTGATAACCTCACAACCACCATCAACAACCTTCGGCACTACCGCCCTTGAGATCGATCAATTGGGCTCTCTTGGCTCTTTTGATGATTTCAATCAGACCGCCGTCTGACGCGGAAGCCCCGCGCGTGACCCTTAACCCTGCCATGACGGGCATGGCTTTGCTTTCTTACGCCGCAAACCCCATTGGTTCCCAGTTTCATTGAAACTCTGAAAGCCAACGAGGATGTTACCGATGGATATGACTGGTATGAACTATCTCTTGCTTATCCTGGCAGACTTGTCTTGGGCCGTATAATGCCTTCTCCAGGCGGAGCCGTTCCGTGTGAGAAATGACAAAGAAACAAGCAATACTTGTTGCTTCATGGTTAAGCCGGGCTTGAATTAAATTGGGATTTCTTACATATATTCGTCTCTAGCCCCCCATCTCATCCATAGCCATCAGCTCAAGTCAGTTAACAATTTCCTGCATACCTAGCTTCTCGAAGCCACCACGCGGAAACAATTCGACCCTAAAACACAAGCCTCAAACAAACGTTTACTCTATTCTGATATCAGAGACTCATCCATCAAACCGTCTGTGTGTCAATGTCCCCTTCTGCCATCACCAACTCCCCTCCTCAGCAGGCAACTCAGCCTACTACTGTTCCTATCAGTTCTGCCCTCGACCAAGCAGACAACACTTTTGCGGTTCAGCCGCCCCCTAACTTCACCGGCTATGACCACATAACTTGGTGGGTTGGCAATGCCAAACAGGCTGCCTCATATTACACCAATCTTTTTGGCTTCAAGCCCATCGCATATAAGGGACTCGAGACTGGAAGCCGATACTTTGCCTCGTATGTCATTGAGAACAACGATGTCCGCTTCGTTTTCACCTCACCTCTGCGATCAGAAGCTCATTTCCCAGACGACGAACCTATCTCCAAGTCGGACCGAAAGCTTCTCAAGGAGATGTACGCTCATCTCGAACGCCATGGCGACGCCGTGAAGGATGTTGCCTTTGAGGTCGAGAATGTCGACGGAGTATATCACAAGGCGGTTCAGGAGGGTGCTATTGCTGTTCAAGACCCCAAGGTCAGCAAGGACAAGGAGCATGGCTCCGTCTCCACAGCCGTCATATGCACATATGGTGACACCACCCATACCCTCATCTCCCGTCAAAACTACACGGGACCCTTCCTCCCTGGCTACCGAACCTGGAAGAAGCACAGGGCCACTGTGTCTCTGCCAGATGTTCCCCTAGCCCGCATCGACCACTGCGTCGGTAACCAGTCCTGGAACGAGATGGACTCGGCCTGCGCTTTCTACGAGCAGTGCCTGTCCTTCCACCGTTTTTGGTCTGTGGACGATTCACAGATCTGTACCGAGTTCTCAGCTCTGAGCTCCGTTGTCATGGCTTCACCAAACAACATTGTTAAGATGCCCATCAATGAGCCAGCTCTCGGCAAGAAGAAGTCCCAGATTGAGGAGTACGTCATCTTCAACTCTGGGCCTGGTGTCCAGCATATTGCACTTCTAACTCCCGATATCATCACTGCCGTCTCAGCC